TACCGTTAAAAAAATGATTATGTTTTAGACGAACATAATTAACGGAAGCACACAATTGCGCATTGAAAGCTTCTTTACATAAATCTTAATTGGCATTCAAGTTCTTAGAGCAATATTAAAAATATTGTTGGCTAATGTTTCCCCGATCAATTTAGAAAGAACCATGAAATCTTCACAGTCTATTTGATCAGCATTTTTGTTTAACGAAAGTCGCTAAAGTTTCCTAAAGTATCCTTCTGCATAGCATTTATGGCAATGGTTGATTCCTTTATTTGGGACTGGTGTACCATATCAATAATTGTGAAACTAACAGACTATTAAAGTTCCTTACTGTGCCTTTTCCTAGGGTAGCTAGGCATTGTTAGGCGGCCCTTTTACATAGGTGCCTGGTTATCCGTCTAAGCTACCTTGTACTACAAATGTATGCGCTTTCATATCTTATAAAATATTCGACCGGACCAAAAGCCAATCCGCCGATTATCTTGATCGACGATAGTTAACCACAGCCGAGGCAATAGCATTTAGGGGTTTCATACTACAACGTGTGGTGGTTGTGCTTACACGGTAATTTATCTTCTTTTTTTATCATTTCCGTTACCCATCATTTTGTACCATTTGTTGAAATTCAAAAATTTTGAATGCAACAATTTCTGCTTGCTCGCGTCCTGTTGCCTTCGGTTTTGCTGCTGCTTGTGATTGTACTGCTGCCACGTCTATCCATTACTGGGATTATATGTTAGAATCGCTAGTCGGCATCGGAGTAAAATCGATTAAACTAGGAACTCTAAAGCAAGTGCATTGATTTTCCCTCTATTAGTGTTTTCGCTTAAGATTGCATTTTGCCCAAGCACTAGAACTCATTAGGTAACGGTCCTCTACAAACGTTTCAAACAACGAACGGTGCTTTAAACTTTGATACTACCTCGATTATAAAACACGTCGGTTCGAACTCCTCCCCTCAAATTCGACAAGCGACTAGCCTTTGTCACCTCAGTTCGGTCTGCCCTCTCGTGCCGTGTGTGATTTGTTCAAGCGACCTACTTCGATTGAAAAAAGCTGCTCAATAGCAAGCCACGGCAAACCAATAGGTCCAGAGAATTTCGTGTTTTCTTTTAATTTTAACATAAGTCTTCTGTAAGCAATCGGTTTTTATTCTGCTCTTTAATTTTAGTTGAATGATATGATTTCTCAAATGTGTGATCCTTGCGCAAATTTGATAATAATATTTCATATTAAACATTGGGATAAATTTATAAATGCTCTAATCTGAGTAAGCGATATCCTAGGTAAATAGCTAGAGTTTGTGTGCAGCTTCCGGGTCAAGTATTGCTTGACGTACTTGGAGGAAAGCTTGAATGCCTTTCGTTCTATCGTAGTCTATGACTATTGCACAATGTAAGATGATGCTTGCTAGTAGGGCAAAGTGCAAGGAAGTAGGGGCTTAATGCTGACAGCGGGAAAAATATACCTACCATAAAAACTGCTTATGTTTTGATTTTTATCAAATGTTAGACGCAAACTCAACAAAAGAAATGAAAGCACTGTAACATCCGTTGTGCTGTCTAAAACTCAGGAATACAATTTTGATAAATATTGTACATGCATACCATAGGAAGCTGCCTCTTGTCGTACTTGTACAGGAAAACTGCAAGCGTATCCACGCCACTTCAACCTGTTGGCTAGCCATAGGGGCACTTCTTCCATCGTATAGTTTTCTTTCCAGAGCACTGGCATTAATAAATTGACCTTCGCCATAGAGTACGTGCGATTTATAACTGCCTCAAGGTATTCCAGACGGCATGTTGTTATATACTGCAATAAATGAAAGTTATCAATCAGGTCAATCGTTTGAAATCCATCAGGCCAATGTGAGCATTTGTATTCAGACATACAAGTGTAAATAATTGAAAATATAATCCATGCATAGTTTGGAAGTAGCAATTTATTTACTTATGATAAAGAGACTTTTGTTAAATAAGTCAGTAACTTCCCAGGCGAGTCGCTTACTTTCAAGGTTTTATCAACAGTCTACGTAGAAAAAGGTATAAAGCAGAGAATATTCTGGATAAAATCAATTAATGACCGCTTTGCACAGGAACATGGTGTAAACGAGTAGTAAAAAGCTGGTGTTGTCCTGCAGAGCACGCCTTCTGATGTTGCTTTATCTAAGCAGAGGAAGTTAGCAGGCAACTATCCAGTGACCATGGTGACATTAGTTGTTACATCTAACCTTGAGCCACTAAGTCACGAAGGGCAAAACCTTGCACAACGGGTACTGGCTGTTTGGATTATCAATTTTTGATAGTCGCGCTATGGATTTGGTTTGCGACGCGCAATCTCAAGTTGACCGCCATTTCCCGTGACGTGAACCTTGGTCATTTGTGCAGTAGGGCCGCCGCTGTTGATGCAGAAGGAAACTGGGTGTTAGCTGCCCAAAGACACTGCACTACATGGAGGGTGTTGAAATATTTTCTCTTCTCAGATGGTGATAACAGGAATCAAAATTTTAAACTATTACGCTGTTAGATGTGTTCGCTACCACTTAGCCACCGGGTCAAGACGTGCTACGCTTGGAACAACGGTTAATGATAACTCTGTGTCGGTTCTTGAGGTTAATTACGTTGGGTGGGACAGCGACGGCCTATCTGAATGTAAATAGATTAATATTTCTTTTGTGCATAAGGCATATTACCTACCAGCTGAGCATAAAACGGACCAAAATATCCTTTAGCCAAATCGTGATCCGGTTATTGCTTGAACATTAGCAGTCTACGTCAACCGTACTATTATCTATTGATCATCTGCTGACATATTGCCAGTACTTGAGTTTCAAAGGCTTGACCACAGACTGGAATAAAGCTACTCAACAGCTGTTTAGATATACTTAAAAAATCTAAAAAGAGAAGCACTTCTTACCTTCTCTACTAAGTGGCCAGGAGCCACAATATTTAGAATGACTTAGCTATTGGTTTATTTTATGTGAAACTTACTCGTTGTTTTTAAACACTTAATATTCTATATTAAATGCACAGCCGATTAATACGACAAATAAACAATATATTTGACAAACGCGTCGTCACTCTATGCACAATTTTTTCTTTAAAGGCCTTTTGCGTTTAAATCATCGTGGCAATGAGCCGTCCACTCAGAAATCCGAATTTGTCGATCTGATGGCTAATGCATGGATCATGGAAAACCTTTTATTTAGGCTATGAGGAAAGCTTGCTGAAGCAAATAAACAAATCGTTTTTGTTCCATAGAGAGCAAACTAAACTGTGAGAGATAACATCCCACATTTCCAGTCAATTCCGATCATCCAGGCTTCACTAGCCGTGTTTTATGGGTAGTTAAATAAGTCGACGCTACTTGTGAAACGACAGTTTGATCCAACAGTTACATCCGATTGTAGTCAATTCTGGTCATTTATTTACTAGGATAGAAAAACGTGCTGCGAATTTTCGCGGAATAGCATTCAATATTTTTTGACCTCTAAAGGTTATTCACTCATAACATAGACACTTTAAATTTCACTGAATCTTAAAATAAATAGCTTGATATAAACTAAATTGCAGTAGACAAGTCAGATACATTCACTCGCCCAAATATGTTGCAACCTAATAGTTACATCGGTCTGTTAGTGTATTCAATCAAACGTAGACTTACCCTTGTAAAAAGCTCCTTGCAGACGTCGGTTGATCCCTCTTCGGCTGTCATAATTGTGTCCACATCTTAAAAGCAAAAACAAATCGTTACATTCCATATGGAATAAACTTGATCCAAATCAATATACATTTAGTTGAATGTGCAACTGATAGTAACTTTCGCAATTTATTAATCAAGACAAACTAGTTGAACTATTCGTAACATTCTTCACATCCGCAACTGAATAAGCTCTGTACTAGATCCGAAAACTTTACATAGGTTTATTAAAAGCAATCGATAAAAATGGACAACTGGTCAACTACAACTCACATAGCACTTGGTCATTAATCGCTGTTAAATGAATTAAATGGTACGTAAATGAAATCGCTAAGCATTTACAAGTTTTCAATAGGGGCATAATTTGCACTTGTAGCTGTCTGTTGTATTTTACTGATGCACACGGATAAGGTGCATGTTTAGTTGTTTATCAGTTGTTTAGGTGCCGGAGTGGCTAGAGACCATCGCTTAAGGCCCGAGTGACACGAGAGTATATTTGAGCTATTCGCTGTGTGGATGCATAGTGACTCGAAACTTCAATGTAGTCGCTATTCCCACTAAAATGAACCTTCGTTGATGAGAACAGGGAAGGCAACAGCATGAGCTGCAAACCGAGTGTTTCGCACCCAAAAGCAACGCAAGATGATGCGCTTTAAACTCAGCTAAAACCGGAAGTTGTTAGAAGTTTAGCTACCAGTTAAAAAGAGTACATTTTCTCTGTTTATGACATTTATGCCTAAACAGAAGTAGCAAACACATTTTATTTATTTTTTGTAAAGCACGAAACAAAGTGGCTTAATTTAAAGCAAATACTTACACAAAGGCTTTGGCCAATACATTCCAACGACTTTAATATTAATTCTTTTCCAATCATAGGCGATATTTCTAATAAAGCGCGCTGGACCACTCCAGTTTTCTGGAAATTCCCAAGTAACGGTGTGCTTGGTTTGATAACGAGTAAAGCAAGTATATGCATTTGCCTCCTCTGTTACTGATTTGCAACTTGTGCTCGTCCTGCCGCCATTCCTTTTGGCGACCTGGTCGAACTGGCTCCCAAGTCAGGTATCGGGCAGTAGGATAGCAGTAGATCCATAATGGTCAACCGGCATGCCGTGAGGGAAAACAAGTTTGAAACAAGCAAAGTATTAAACGTGTAACTGGCGCAAGGCATGACTCAGTGAAAAACGAGCAATCAAAACGAACGTTGCCTAGGTTTCTACGTTACATAAACTCAGGCGTAAAATTCGGATAGTGCCAACATCTAAAGCAAATGTAGTGTTGACCCGTTTTTTAAGGTTAAGTCAACGAAATCGGCACGGCTCTATAGTCATTTGTTTTATTGGTTCAGGGTGAGCATTAAAGTTTTGCAAAGCTGCACTCACAAGATTATGAACGGTTTTCACGGGCGGCAATTCAGTCACAATCTTCAGTTCAAATTCTATAAAGATAAAGCGAATATAAGCGGAAACAAAACAAAAGTATTTGCTACATGCGGTTTGCATTTAGATAGTTTGAAGCGTAGCTAAGCCCTTTTATTTTCATACAAGCGAAGGCAATGACTTTATTTAGTGATCCACATCAAGCCGCGACTTACACCTACAATTTTACTTAACCAATCGATAAGCGACAAAATAGTGTTGCATGCTTTGTTGCCACAAGATTCTGAGAGCAATATTTCCGGTGACGAAAACAAAACTATGGAAATAAGGTTTAGATTGCTCATCTGTTGGCTAACCAAATAGGTTGCAAACCAGATTTTTCAATGTAAATTGTTGAGCGTGAATTAAATGCACGTACTTTCACACGTCCGCTGGAAACATTCTGATATATTTGCCTTTTAAACTACTGAAATATTTGACTTAGTTTATTGGCTATTTATTTTACCTTCATGTCAAAGAAAACCTATGCAACTACCACGACGACTACACAATTGTTCATTAAAATAGTCAATGCAAGTAAGGAAACTGGTTGCTTGGTGATTTTGTTTTATGAATCTATTGGGTGTGCTACTGACACTATGTCAAAAGTACCCTAGGAACCAAATTGAAAAGCAGCTGTGATTTGTTTTGTGAAAACATATCTCTAGGCACACTGAGTACTTGCTCACGTAGATGTTGTGCAAATAATACTGAGGCGTTTCCTACTGTGACAGGCGGAAAATATGCTTATACTATATTATTCAGCATTTTCAAAATAGCCCGTTGTATTTATAACAATGAAAAAAGACGCATTTGCACTTACCATACTGCCCTTGTTTGACGTCACTTCCTACAGACAAAATTGTTAATAAAAGCAAATCAATGAGCGCCAAGTGTACTCACGTTTGCAACAACAGAATACGTGTCAGAGCTACATTTTACTCAAATATGCGCTTTTCTATTTATATTCTATTAAACGGTTTCAAATGCATATCAAAATTCCCCCTCCCCCTAAATGAGACCTACTAGGTGCATTTATGTTACCTAGACGATGAAGTGCGAAATATTGAAGATAATGTATCACATTGTTTTATATTTTCAACTCACGTTCTCTAAACTTGGATGCCGATATCGAAGGAATCGCTCTTGCTGTACCAATCTGTAGCAGCTGTCCGTTTACTGTTGTGGAATCGTTTACTGTACACACGCAGGTTAACTCTTCCGTTCGCGAATCGTAAAGCCACCTGTATAGGCTGCAACTTTTATTCGAAGTATTTTCCAAAAGTGAACGCTGAAGGATGCAAGGGTACAAAAAGGAAAGGACATTTTCTACTTATACAGTACACCTGTAACTCAGTGTGCGGATGTGTGGTTGATGCTTTTACCGGGCTGGGCAATTTTGTTGCAGACGTTTCAATGCCAAGCTAGGCAACATCCTCAGTGCGGCCTTTAAGTTCTCATTCGCACAGCCTTGTAAGCCACTGCCATATATTGGAGACGTAAATATTCACATTTATCTGACATCCGCTGACGAGGCTCTGTGATTTAGACCATAATAGCCGCACTGAGACTGCTGGCTATCTTGTCAATTAAACATCTGCGACAAAATTGCCTAACCGGGAGTAAACATAAACCATCAAGCATTTTCCTAATATTAGATAGAAACCGAAGGTGTCATGATAAACATGTATGTATGCCGTGGGTTTATTAAGGTTTATAGATTATTGAAGCCGAACTAACGAATTCAGAAAAGTATTAACAACGCCCTTAACAGTGCGCATGCATATGAATCACTGCGGTGCAGAATGAGATAGTAAATCTTCATATACTACACAGAATATATTGAATACTAACTTGCATTCCGCAGTATGTTGGCATATTTATTCCAAAGGTTGGTTTCACCTCGATCACTTGCAGCAGGTTGTTCCTTGCCACAGTAACTGACAAAAGATCTTAAAAGATGATTAATTTATTAGCAACATCGCATTAAGGAAAAGCACGGGTCCAAGATATTCATATGTTTACGTATATTGATGATATATCAGTAGCTTAAACCGCAATATTTTTGATAATAGAGATAATTTGTACCTAACTTATAAAAGAAATTTTTCGCTTTTTTGGTCGTAAACAATCCATAATCCTGGCAAACCTAAGGAAAATTATTAGCCGAACTAATCAGGACTGCAGTTTTAGTACAACGAAGCTACCCAAAGCAAGAAGCAATTCTAAACTAATAACGGTGAAATGCGTAGTTACTGAGTTTAACTGAAGTTTACTGTATCAAGCTACATAATTCTAAATGTCAACGAAATGACGCGTCCTTCGACGACCATCCGCAGCTTTTATTTAATAAACTGCCATACACAAATTTATGTAGCTAAAGTGGCAATTATTATGAGCTGGTGGGAATGGATATCATGCTTTTGTGGTGAAATGCATCAAAGTAGGAACATTGCGCTAGTCAAATCACCTTACTATTAAAGCAAAACACTTAGACGCACACTCGTAACTTAGACACTGTAATAATATTTGACGCGTAATACCTAGATATAATAAATTAAATGGTGTGAGTGTGCCCGATTACATGAGGCATATTAAAATTGTTTGTATACTCACCGCAGCTGACATCAAGCAACCAGTTCATCATGGAAAACATGAAGGCTTTTAACATCTGGGTGTTGTTACGGCGATGGTGCCACATCTCTCTATACCGACAGTCATATTTATTAGCGTTATCTTTATATATACAGCAGGCTGTATGAAGTATGGCAATTGCTAACCAATCATAGAACAGACCACACGGATAGTAAGTGATTGGAAACACCTGTGTTCATCTGAGGTGTCTGTATGTAATCAAGCATTTAACTTACCATATTATGTGGAATTAATAGTACGAAGTGCTCGCAGCATCCGATATTTACCTAAGTAAATTACAAATGCCTGTGGACAATTATAGTAAGGGTATAAGTCATATTATACCTAATTCACCGAAACGTAACTCTTCGGCTCAATTGCGTTGCTTCACAAAATGAAGTAAAATTGCCAGGCACCAGCAATGCAATTTTATGGACAACGTATGTTAAACGATCATTTAGCATTAACCTGCTAGTATCTGCGCCACTATCACCCAGCCATCACGTGGCACAGTAAAGTTTATTAACCCTCATCTCTAGCAAGATAATACATTTTTAAGCGGCACACAAGATTTAACTAAAAGGACTAAACCATTTATCCTCGACGGTGCGTGACACGTCTTTAAATGTAAGAACTTGGTAATATAAACGGGGAACATCAGTAAACGGAAAGATCTTTTACTATGTAACTAGCACATTCTGGATTTTTGTACTAATGGGTGGTATTGAAGTGGATGCATGTGTGAGTAATCGAGTTTTGTAAATTTGTTAGTATTAATGCGAAATTGTAATCTGGTTGATTGAATGCGCAACTTTGAGAAAGGACAACCAAAAATCTTGGATGTGGTTAAGGTTTGCGATACTTGCAAATTCCTCCGTTTTGGCAAGGAAACTGCGCGTCATATCCGCCAAGCAAGTGGTTTTAAGCAAATATTAGTAGATTTTTCTGGGATGACCGCTAGTCTGTCGGAAACCTAACACGTCCTAGCACATTGCCAATAAATTATTTCCTGAACCGGGATTAACCAAAACCACCCAGCTGTCATCTAGTAGAGGTTGTTCAGCTAAACAGTTATGAAAGGCTTCACGCAACACGATTTGCCATTCAGCTGGGTATTAAAACACACAGAAGCCTGGTTGAGCATATGTTTTGACAAACACTATTATGACGCGCCATGCCAATGTGCACACGCGTAAACAGGTTACTTTTCTAGGCATTTGGATGTGTGGTATAAATTAGACGGAGGCTAGTCCCGTCCCAAAATTTTCCCCACCGTTTGCGTGATGCAGAATGCCTCAAGGGTAGCATGACGGGTACATAAGGCCATATGGAAAGTATTGCTGCGATGCTTAAAGAAAAGGACTTAAGTCGACAGACGCAAACACATCGCTCTTCCTCCAAATGAAATGGTTGCGAATAGAACCAACGTCAGCTGGCTGGAAACTTCCTGCTCTCCTACGCATTCGTTGGATTCAAGCACTTTAGACCAGCTTTACAAAACTACGTATTGATTTGAAGAAACCTTTTAAAGACACGACGTTATTTTGTAACCGCATTTTTGGATTTTCCTAACCATAACGTAACTAACAGTTACTATAATGGTAAATATGCAGGTGCGTTTTTTCAAACTCTTTAAATTGCAGCGAACGTAGATAAATGGTGCGCACAAAATAACCATATAATGTTTGAACTATTGGATTAAGCTGGTTAATTTAATTTGAATAGTTGAAAGTGGGTTAATTTGCTCCATAAAGGGAACCAAGTTTAGGTAGCATAAGAAAAGCAAACATTAGACATAATACGCGCTCTGCCATCCACAGGTTATATATGACCGCTGTAAACCACAAAGGTTTATGTATAGTTATGCCCTTGATCCTTGAAGCCAACCGCACGGTTGACATTAATAACATAAATGTGCTGGGTATGGATGGAAAACAAGCACACAACCGTCGCCAACCCCGAAACATTATATGCGTTTCTCTTCAAACAAAACAATATACGCACCAACAAACATTATGTGCTTACTTGATGCGGTACGCTTTATCATTATAGGAGCAGCCCCTTGTTACGACAAGTAAAACAGATTTCAAATATACTGAACATTTAATGTCAGTTGGCGAAGTCCCAACTGTATGCATTTGTAGTTACAAAGTGTTTTAATACTTGGCAGTATTAATTTTTCGCTGACTGCATTAATATCCGGATGCAATTTGCTTTAATTTAACTGTGTTAGATAGTTGTTTTATGGGGAAGCGCCAATACTACCTAAAGATTCGTGTAAACATGGAACTGTTCGGCTGCTGACCAGGAAGCGCCAAAAATCAGAGAATAACAAGGCCATATTTTGCTGTAAACGTAGCCTATTGATAATTTAACCCACAGCTACTGTAATCAGAAATACACGAACCAAATGTTAAGTCAATAACAAACTCTTTTACCATCATTTGTAACGACAAATATTTCTGTACTCCGAGCACATTAACTCGGCCAGGCTTGCCTGTAAACAACTAGCTGTTGTCTTTTGATATTGTGCCCATACGATTGATAAGTGGTACAATACAGCTAATATTATATTTGTAGTCAAATGCGTCATGTTAATGAGTAATGCTGCATGGCGTTTATTAGCGCTACCCGGTGGTTAACAAGAATATTTTATGAGTTGACAGCTAAAGCGATCGGTGTCTTAGTACCTCTAAAACACTGCAAAGATTTTTCGGTTAATATTAAAATAATGAAGTAAATTCGCACAAACTAAGGTGTTATAAAACCGGTTATGCGCTAATGTTACCCCAGTGAAATTTACATTGGGGGCGCATAATAGCTTTTATTACGTCTTGCAATCATTCCCAATGAAAAGCAACCTAATTAAGCAACAAAATTAGGTAAAATAAAGGTAAGAAAATACTGAAAGCGTACACCAAGCAAACTAAATTGCGTTAACATAACGCCGCTATGATTTTTTCTACGGTGTTAAAGTAACACAAATACAAATGCACTACAGACATCCTACTGAGTGCATGAATGCTAACGAAAAGGCATTTTATTACTCTTGTTTGTTATCTGTTACAATTTCGTAGGTAGCATTGTTAAAGACACTCCTGTAAACGTTATTCCTCTGGTTTGTTAGCACTTCAGCTTTACATCCTCTGGAAGGTACGAGAATACCGCTATCTCAACTTCAAACTGACCTCATACAGAATATCTAAATTTGTGACCCTGGTCATTTAAGCCTGTTTGGTGAGTGCTCGGGGACAATGAATTTTAATTGGTTCGAGGTAAACCTAAGTGTGACTTCCGTGATTTCTACTTCCTACCAACGCATCACATGAAATGCAGACGAGCTATCACAACCTCCTTGAATGGATCAAGATAGTAAGCAACTGCTCAACAAACGGCCTAAAAACTGGTGGAGTTATTTAGAAGTTTTATCTAACAGCAAACAGGAAAAGTACCGTAAATCTATAAATAGGTTCGAGTAACAAAATCCTAGTGCTTCTTTGTTGTAATTAAAGTATATAGCTGGTGACCTTTTCGATAACCCGAAATAGTGTTTCGTTCATTTTAAAGAGCAATGTGGTTCAAATTCATCAACTTCAATTTTATTGCGCGCTGAGGGTACTCATGCTCGTACTGACGAAGACAATGCTTGTGTAGTCAGTGATGGTTAGTCAGAGGCACATGTGCGTTAATAATGCTTTGAAATCACCATAGACTCATGTTTAGCTACTTTACTGTGGTGGACGTCGTTTGACCACAAATAAAGTAAACCCTCAAAAACGTGCTATTGCACAACAGGAACCCGACACTGTTGGCAATTGGCGAGGCGCTACTGATAAGATTGAAGCGTCCCGTACTCTGTGCCCAGAAACAACTGAGACAATCAATTAGATTGCCTTGGTCCTGATTACGTCATTCCCATCATTTTTATCTGCTTATCTATGTTACTAAGTGTGGACCCTATATATTGCGTGTTTTTTCTGCCTGTATTGCGTTGCGACTGACGAGAGCAATCGAAATGTTAACATATCGCAACCTCTGTCTTCTTACTGCGTTAATGAAGTGGCTGAAGGGGACTCAGTGTTTCAAGTTTCTTATAATATGCTTTGTAAAACAATTGCTTATAGCATTATAGAAATATACCCCTGATTGGTTTAACCTATAACATAATGAAGCAATTTACGTCTTTACTCCGTATTACCGATTTATCTTTGAGTCTGCCACGTAAAAGATTCAGTTTGGATAGT